TATAATTTTATAATTTTATTTAATAATATTAAAGTAGAATATTTTGATTTTACTAACAATAAGTCTTCTTCAGCTGCAAATACAAAATTTCAAACTATTATAAATTACATTAATCATAGTCGGAGAACACGTTTTTTTCTAGTGTGAATTATAGAGACCAATATTTAAAATTAAAATCATTGTTTGAAACCATCGTTATTTACCTTTTCTTTTATTTCCTCTAGTTTCTATTTTCCTTTAAAATACGAGCCAATATACACAATTTTTACTTTATATTTTTTGTCTTTTCGATCATCATTTGTCATGTATGTACCTACTAAATTATTCTAAAATGGCATTATTTTTACCAATTCAATTGAGCAACATGAAATATTCGTGTTATAATAAAAATTATTATTATTATAAAAAATCACTTGGTGAAATTGCACTCCAATTTACAAAATACGTAATAATCTAACTATATTTCGAAATAGAGAGAAAGAGAAATATTTCTAATTTAATTTATTTATGAAATTTTGGTAAGGTACTTTCTTCGACAAACAGAAGCATTTTTTGTACAATTTTTGCAGCTTGCTTCGAAAAGGCAATAGAGTCATTTGGCACACTGGATATCGTTATCAACAACGCTGGCGTTATGAACGATGCGAAATGGGAGCCCATGGTTGATGTTAATTACGTAAGTACTGACGGATTTATTTCAATTTTAGATTTGTTACTTTCGGATGTTCTTACTGTTTCGCATTTACAATCAGAAAGGGGTTGTACGCGGCACGATATTGGGCCTGAAACATATGGGAAAGCACAAAGGCGGAAAAGGTGGTACTATCGTCAACATGTCCTCTGTAGTCGGCTTGCAGAGCAATCCGCTCGCGCCGATTTACGCCGGAACGCATTTCGCCATCGTCGGATTCACCTCATCGTTAACAGTAAAAATTGCGATAAACAAATAACGGAATGTAGTTCTATCTTCAAGCTCAAAATTTATCTATTTGGTCTTTTCAAGTTATTTGAGCTACGTACATCACTTGTTTTTTTGCTGGATGCTGAGATGATCAAAGCATTATGGGCTTTTTTTATTAACATTTTTGCATATTTTTAGACTTTCTACGAGAAAACGGGCGTACGTGTACTGACGATGTGTCCCGGTCTTACGACCACTGGCATGGCCTCCAAGTACATGTCAAGTAAAATCTACGCGATGGATCTCCTCGATGACGAGTTCGCTGCCAAGGAGATGACGAGTCAATCGCTAGAGAGTCAATCGTACGTTTCAAATACCATTTTGTTCTTTTCACAATACAATAGAACTTACTTTTATATTAAATAATTACAACAAATAAAATAAATTATATTATGATAAATCTTAAAGTAACATAAAAATAATATAGTATAATAAATCTTAAAGTATATAAATTGAAATTTATAAATATAAATTAACATTTGCATAGAAATTAAATGTTACAAATAAAGTAAGATAAAAAAGTGATTAATGCAAAAGAAGGATTTATCATAAATCTTACATAATAAAGTTTTATTCCATTTAACAGGCCCGAACACGTGGCAACCGCTGTTGTGGAATTGATCGAAAAAGGAGGAAACGGCGCGATCTTCGTCAGCGAAAACAATCAACCTGCTTACGCCGTGCAATTACCGTTCTACGCCGATTTGAAGATTTCGGTGTAAAGCCTGCGCTTTGTGACAAAATATCCTTGTTACACGGCGTCTTGACACTTCCATGATTCTTAAAAAAAAAAATGTAATTTGAACAAAAATTTCAAAAATAGATTTTGTGATTGTCCAGCGTGACATAAAATTCTCGACCATCAAATACACTTACAATTTGTTTAGATTTCAAATTTATTTATTAGATTTATTTTCAACGTAATGGAAAAATAAATCTAAATTTCTAATTGTGAACAATCGAAAAACAAAGTCGTTGAATTATTTGTTTCAATAAACATAATGCATTTGTATTGCAAAAACCGTGGAATTGTCAAACGATCTTACTTGCTTTTCCGAAAAGTTTGATATTAATTCTTAGCGCTTGCACTTTCTCGAGGCTCGAATTAGCCATAGATAAGTAATATTTAATAATAAAAAGATTCGTAATTAAGCTAATTAAATATTGATTTTTCTAATAATGGCAAAGTACACCAGCTAATAATATATTCAGTATATTCACTGTTATTTCATGAAAATAGAATAGCGATAATAACGACACTTTTAGATTCTAATTTCTTTTCCTTTTTAACAAAAATAATGAGGCGTAGAATGCTAAAATAAAATGCGATGTATACAGCGTGAGATTTTCGTTATTTATCATTGAAAGCGAAAAATCTGATCAAGCTCGGAGCTTATGGCATGTATAAATAAAATTCGAGATAAAGAGCGCATAAATCTCTACAAGAATAATTTATTACAATATATACAAAAAAAAACGATAGAAATGTTGGGAATTGCTTGTTGGAAATCAGAATTTTCAAGAGTTGTAATGAATACTAATACGATGCCCATATTATCGCAAACAGCTTTTCGATAAATATCACATTATTTGTTCCACTGTCTTACTTTATCGTTAAAATTATTTTTAAAAATGCAAATATGATAAATATATATTAATATACATATGTATATATATATATATATTAAAAATTATTTGAATACATATAAAGGAATAAGAATATTTTAATTTTATTGAAGAGATACTAGATTCAGAATGAACCGAAACGTTCGGAACTTTTACAGCGGATCTTTTTTTTTATAATAAAAGCATGTTCGTGTATTTACATATATATATATTTGTCATATTTGCGTTTTCGTTCTTGTTCTAATAAACGTAAGTATATGCAATTGAAATTCAACAATCTTTTTCAAACTTGCATACACACTCATTTACATATACCTTCTAATTATCATAGATTATAGAACATTTGACGATAAGTAAGTATATATTTACAAGTTTTAAACGGTGCCTTTCCTTATAATTTAACTGCGCGTAAGTCTGATTGCATATAAAAAGCATCACACCGTCAAGCACTTCTGTAGCTGACTTCCATTACTTTATATCCTCTTAACGCGATAACATCAAATAATGGACAACGTGCAAAATAAAACGGCGATAGTGACGGGCGCTGGGTCCGGTATCGGTTACCACATTACCGAAGAATTATTGCGAAAAGGCGCGAAGGTACTTTACAGGTGAAAATAAAAAAAAATGGAGTATAGTATTTTCCTATCCGTCTGTCCTATTATAATTCTAGAAAGTCGCCATTTTCGATTTGCCGCGAGAATGTAGTTACAATGCGACGGTGACTCTGCAAGAGAAATTTGGAAAAGACCGTGTCATCTACTTTCCGATCGATCTGACAAATTTGGAAGTGTTCAACGGTAATTAATTTCTCTTAAATATTTCTTGTCGAAAAACAATTAATCGCCGATAATCTCTATGATATGACATTTATTTTACATTTGTAGACACGAAGTATCCATTAAATTAGTATATTAAATACATTAACCGATTGTTTTAATTCTCAGAAACCTTCAAGCAAGCTGTTAAGGCACTCAATGGACTGGACATACTTGTTAACAATGCTGGAATATGTTTCGACCGTTGTATCGAGCAAACGTTTGCTATTAATGTCGTAAGTAATAAAATATTAAATTACTGCTAATTAATAATGAATAATTTACTTATTTTAGTAGATGTAGCGTCCTAAAAACGGTGATTGGAAATATTGATTGTTATTAAATAAGAATTTTGGAAATATCCTTTATAAAATGACTAATTTAATTATTGTGAATGTATTAACAAATTCTAAATACCTCATTCGTATAATACTTATGTAAACATATATATAATTTTATTAATCACGAATATACATAAATAATACGTGAATTATTAGATATTTTATTTTTACAGGTAGCACTAATTCGCGGTTCGGTATTAGCCATAGATTACATGGATAAACAAAAAGATGGCAAAGGAGGTACCATAGTAAATATAGCATCTATGGCTGGCCTTGGTTCTTTCGCTGCATGTCCGGTGTATAGCTCTTCTAAATTTGCTGTTGTCGGATTTGGTCTCAATCTTGAGGTAATTTATATTTCACAAAATATGAAACCTCACTCTTACTTTTCCTTTAATTTTATGTATGACTAATTTTGCTGACAAGGTTTTGGATACAGTTGCATACAAATTTCAATAATACCTCGCGCGAAATAATGTTTTGCTTGGAAGATATTTTAAAATTCTTAAAATCTTTTTTTTTTACCATAAATACTTCGCATTATATTAAATTTATCATTTTCATGTAACTTATGTACGAACTTTATACATACCGCTAAAATATTTAATATTGAAAATAATAATACATGCTTTTTATAGTACTGTACAAAATAATAGGTCTTACTAAAGTATAATATCTCTTTCAGAAATTTTATGACAAAACTGGAGTTCGTATTCTGACGATATGTCCCAGTTTTACAAAGACGGCAATGAGCAGTCAAAAAAACAATCTTCTCGAGTTTATCGATGAAGATGATATTACCAAGCTTTATAGCAAAGAATTTTTTGACAGTCAATCGTAAGTATATCAAAGATGTAATAGAAATATATATATGATTAACAGCATTTGATAAAAAAAACCGTCCTTTTCGTAACAAATGTACTTATTTATTATATATTTTATTATTATAATATTGTCATTAACCCGCACGCTCGAGTATAGAAAAAGATAAGAAAAGTCGTTAAGTTATTATTATTATTATATAATAATAAGAAAATTATATCAATATCTTTTCGATGGGAATGTAACACATTGTTATAGTGCTGCTCACGTGGGACAATCTGTAGTCGTGGCCATTCAGAAAGGTAAAAACGGATCGATTTGGATTATTCATCGTGGTGAGACACCATATCCAATAAAACTACAGCCTTTTATTGCCGCTTAAATGTGAAAATCTTCGCATGTCAGAGACTTTATATGTATCCCCCTCTTCCTCGCATAAAAGTCAGAAGAAAACTTTATCCTCGGAATCATGAATAACACGTTTGTCACATCGACATATAAAAGCACATTAATTATAAAGCAAATAAATAAATAATACAATGCAATACAAACTATAACTAAAATTATAAAGTCTCAATTCCTGCTTATAACGCAACGCGGAAAAAGAAATTAATTTCCGTTGAAGCGGTAATGATACAAGGCATGAAAATAAAGTTGATAAATCCAAGTGTAATAATAAAATATTATATAGAACACATTTATGATTATGTTTTAAACAAATTCCAGCATAATAATTATTATTCGCTGCCTATACTAATAATATATTAATATCTAATAAATAAACACATTGTAATTTTTGTAATTTAAAAAAAATATTGTATTCGTTATAGTTTGGTCACATTTTACGCAATTATATAATAATCACAGATGTGATTCAGATTAATCATAAGTAAATAGTAAAATGTACTTAATAAAAAAATGATTTATAATTTGTTACTGATTAATAATTGATAATTATTATTGATATAATAATAAAACTATTAATTATAATGTAATTGTTTTATATGTAATTGTTAAACGGGAATTAAAGACATCCAGTCTGGATAGCAGGGAGGTTCCTGGCTGATATTTTTTGCAATAAGTTATTTTACAGGCTAAAAGATGCTCATTAGCATTAAATTATTAAATTCCGTAACAATAGTAACATTGCTGTATTTTACGACCGACAGAATGTTCGGCGCTCAATTTGCTTGAATTGGAAAATTATAAGATCCACACATGAATATTATTAGACACGAATCACCTTCGACCGCGTTGGCGTTTTCTCACCTTAATTATATTATTCATATAATTAATACTCACCGCTTTGCCAGCGCCCGAGATGTATCTTCTCTCCACCTCTCAGACTGTTCCGATTGTCAATCTATAGGATTCCCTCGACGCAATGTACACTCTCCGCGTTATTTTCAGAATCATTCGAATAAACGATTCGACTAAATCAGTTATACTCAATATACACTTTCTCTTAGGTTGTCGATTTTATAGAAAAAATCTCCTTCGACGTGACACTTACTAAAACGCGGATAATGGTCGATATCTATAACTTTGCGCGGCGGGTTTTAAGTTAAAGCACGAAATTAACGCCGCGTCGAGTGCATAGCCAACTGAATCAAGCGAACCGAAAATGTATGTGCAATACATACTGCACATACATACACTTGAGACATATTCGCGATACAACTCGAGAGAATGTAAATTCCACAAGATGCCAAACAATGTCAAATTGCAAATCGACACATCATTACGCTTCACTATTTAAATCACACGACCCGTGTATTTCGTCACATTAAATCGTGCAACTGAGATGTGAGAATGATCGTCAAATTATTTTCAGATTAACGAATAATTAACTCGCTTCGACTTCAAAGACAATTTCGAGAGACAATTGTTCGTTGAAGTGAATCGCGACGAAATGGTAATTTAAAGTATTTTTAAAAATTCCGATTCTTCCTTTGATTCAACATCGCTTGGATAAATCGCGCGAGTGTCCACTGCATATAACGATCACTAGCACTGCGTCCCTGTGAATTAGTACGTCGCGAATCACGCAAATGACGAGAGCCAATCAGGATGCACATGAATAATTCGAATTAATAAAGAATTTATTATAATAAGAATAATAAAGAAACTAAAATTTAAAATTATAATTAGGCTCATATGAATAAAATTCAAGACAAGAAAAAAGGATCTAAAGAGTCAAGCCAAAAAGCGCAAGCGCTCAAATATTCAATTCATATATGTATTCTTAAGGATCTCACAATATAATTAATAAACCTTAAAAAAAATCCTTAAATACAAATAAAACAAACGTTTCGACCTTATATATTACGGTCATCTTCGCGCGGTGTGTAGTCTAATATATAAAAATAAATGTCACTACAGTGAGACATTTAATTTGACATTAACGAATATTTTATGTATGTTAGACTACACACCGAAGATGACCGTATATAACATCAAAACGTCTGTTTTATTTGTATTTAAGATTTTTTCTGTACTAATTATATTGTGAAATCCTTAAAAATATATGGTAAATATTTGAGCGCTTACGTGATCTGGCTCGGCTTTTAGCACCTTTTCTCTTATCTTGAATAAAGAAACTATATTTTTTTTTTACTGGCAGGGATCTCTGCAGAGATTGTTCCCACACTTTTTGGCACAAAGCGCGGCAAGGACTATTAACAATTTTTAATCATTTATTTGCACGTATGCACTGCTCCTTTCAACTGAACGCGGAGCACTTTCGCACCTCAAATTTAAACAAACTATTTTTTTTTCTTTTACTCTTAGTGGTCTCAGAAATTATTCCCGTGCATTTGTACTTTTTGGCACGAATCACATTTTAATTTTCGCTCTAAGAACGCTCCGAACTTCAACTTATACATATTATTTCTCCTGATGATTTTTTCGAGACAGACGTTAAGATATGTACACGCGCGCCCTTCCAATTGCTCGCTCTTATCGGAACGTATTTCGATCATTTACATGACTTTTCCGCTTCTCGAGAGTCTCGTGATGCAGTTGCTGGTATAATTCTCGTGCTACGCGTATACATTATTACTTGAATTTCTTTCAATTTTTTCGACATCTAGAATACGCAATTTCAACCGCTATCTCTGATGTGCACAAGTGACTCGCAATGACAATCGTGAGTAATAAGGCTTTCGAACGATGGCAAAAGTCATATATTAAGGAAAGAAAGTTTTTCCCTTTCTCGATTCGAAAAGGGAGATACGAAAGGAGATCCTAAGAGAAAAAGAGAGAGAGAGAGAGAGAGAGAGAGAGATTTTAGATTTCTTACCGCGTTCCTCATATTTCCGTTTGTCCCATCCCGACATCCCGTCAGTGTGTGTATACCCGCGCCGCGCGCCGGGATGTGACCCGCGGACGGCGATGACGTCACGCCCCGCGCCGCTAGCTCCACATCAAAATGGCCGCATTTTAGTCTACCGAGTACTTTTCTTTACTGTTTGCCAATAGCCGTGCTAAGGGCCTGGCGGTGTTCGTTTGCGTCGGAGCGTGTCTGTTTCGCCGGAAATTTCACTGTGTCGCGCGACACGCCCTAAATTTCCGCGAAATAGAGCGAACGTGACCGGGTAAGTGCGGGGAAAAGTGAGCAAAAAGGGTGTTACGCGCCGCGCTCCGGCGGCGGCGGCGACGGCGGCGTGGCTCCGCTCGTACGGACGGTCGTGGTCGCCGGACCAAGCCCATTCCATCGACGGGGAATTTTATTTATAGAAACGGCCGACGAGAGAGAAAACGACCGGTCGCAACAATCCACGCGCGGACAGGCGATCGCGCGCGGCCGCCGACGACGACGACGACGACGACGTGCCGCCGCGGGCTCGTGTCGTCCCGCGTAATTAAACCGCCCCGTCGTACCGGCTCGCCCGTCCCGCAGCGAGGGAAGGTTATATCGTCCTCCTGTCGTCTCCTCCCCAGGCCGATCCGATCGCGGTCGCCGTCCGCCGCAAATCGCGCGCGAACTCGCGGGATTCGCCGCGTCCGTCCTCCGTCTTGAAGAGGGGAAATACACCGCGCGCACGTTTGTTAACGTTTCGTAGTAAATTTTCGGAGCAAACTCCTCTCTTTTTTTCTTTCTTTTTTTTTGAGGTAACTCGAGGAACCTCGAGCTCCTCGTCCTCCTTTGTTGATTGGCACGATCAACAAATCGGTGCAGTTGTCGTAAACTGTCTGTTACTGCTTACCTGTTTACTGATAGTCACGAATTTATATTCGTTATTCTCGCTCACCGATTAGCAAAGTCGGCAGAGGAATAGTTTCTCTGGTCTGCTGATTGCTATGTGGGAGCCTGGTCGGTGTATATACGCAAAAGAAGGCAGATGTATCACATGTTTGAACACGATGGAAAATTTGATCCTTCGACTGGTTACGTAGCACGGCTGTTTACACGCGTGCCACGCGACTCTGTCGTTTGAAATGATGTTTAAGACCGCAGGCTTTGAATAAGTTTGTTCCTTCGTTTTTTTACAGGTGTTTGTCTGCGTAGATTCTCATAAGATGTTACGCCAACATCACGCGATGCAAAATCAGCTTCGAGATCATAGGTTAATATTCTATAATCAAATCCTTATATTAGCACACTCTTGCAGCGACAGAATGAAATAAAAAAAGGGCGATAGAAATACATTAGTCTATTCTCTAGAACACTAGTCTTTTTTTCACGTATGTAGAATTAAAGTAAATAACTTTTTACGTGAATATTTGTAGAAATTGTTAAAACTTGACCAAGAGACTTCCTAATATGATTCTGTTTAGTGACTTAGTATGCCTCTTCTGAATAAAAGTTTTTAAAGAATTGTAAAAGAGATTAAATACATCTATATGTAACTGAGACATATTTACTAATTTATAGTGAGAGTTAATATAGATATGAGGAATTTATTCAATAAGACTTATTGTATAACCTAACAAAAAATGAATACAGAATGGCAGGACCAATGCGGCCTATGCAGCAGGCTAACATGCCTCAGCTACATCAGCCGCAGCATTTAGTACCACATCGGAATCCGCATCAACAAATACTGTCCATGCCCCCCCATCAACAGCATATGCATCACATGCAGCATCCTGGCCCGCCGCATGGAAATCCAAGACAGCCAATGTTGATGGGCATGAATACGCACAGTACAAACAGTAAGCACAGATCCACAGTGAGAGATTTGACCTAAGCAAACACCAAGTTATATGTGATATACTTGTCAGTTGTAATTTCCCCAACTCAACAATATAACTGTAATATAACACATGTGTGAACTAACAAGTATGTTACATGTAACTTGGTGTTTGCTGGGTATGTGACAGAATTAAATAAAAAAAAGTGATAGAAATATTAGCCTAAGAATGCTAGTCTTTTTCACATGTAGAAATAACTTTATCCACATCACGTATAAATATTTGTAGAAATTATTAAAAATTGACCAAGAAACTTCCTAATGATTCTGTTTAGCGACTCAATATGTCGCTGTAGAAGTCTCTATATATTATTTACTTTTACCGATGTGGAAATCAATTCGAAACGTTTGCTTCAGATACCATGGTTAGCGTTAGCATGAAGGACCAAGCAAGTACAGTGTCTGTGACTCTTCAAAACGTACAACAGCCTCAGTATCCACATCAGCAGCAGCCGCAGCAGCAACAGCCGAATAATCAGCAGAATCAATCTCCCCAGCAGCAACAGCCGTCGCAGCAGCAGGTGCAACAATCACAGTCGCAGCAGCACGTGCCACAACAATCGAATGTGGAGCAGTCGAAGGTGATAACGAACGATGCCAATGGAGAGTCCAGAGACGACAGTGTGTCTGGTCAGAATCATGCCAACGCGACTAATTCAGCTTTGGCAAACATGAAAGAAAAAACACCCATGTGCTTGTTAAACGAGTTGGCGAGATTCAATAGGATTCAACATCAATACAGACTGACCAACGAGCAGGGACCGGCGCACAAAAAGAGATTCACGGTGACACTGAAACTAGGTGAGGAGGAATATGTTGCCGAAGGTCCCAGTATAAAGAAGGCTCAGCACAGCGCGGCGACCGAAGCATTGACGAAAACCTGGTATCGTCAACCTCCACCTAAGCCCACCAAAGCCATGAGAATCGGCCACCTGGGCAAATGTCCAACAGGTTCTGGTAAGTTTCGTATTGTGAATTTTTCTATATACATGGAATTATAGTGCAGTAATATTCATTTAACGTTATTTTTCTCAACTTAAGTAGTTAATTGTACAGTAATATCGATATTTACAATTTCTTTTTGTTTTACGTTATTTTTCTCAACATAAGTAGTTAATTTGTACAGTAATATCGTTATTTACAACTTTTTTTTTTTTTATTATAAAACCCACAGATTTTGCAGTACTATTTAATTTATCTAAACGTATACCGTTTCGAATTACAGGACATTTGCCGCCTACCGTCGAATTGAACGCGTTAGCAATGAAACGAGGCGAGCCCACTGTTTACACGTTCCGACAAGCTCCTCCAGCCGCGTTACAGCATCAATTTATGCCGCACGGATTCAATGCTAACTTCCCACGAATGTACAATCCGCGTCTACCGTACAATCGTGGAGTTCACACGGATCTTCAGGGGTTGTATCTCGTCACGCTGAAGGTTGGCGAACGCGAGTTCACGGGTAGAGGTTTAACGGGCCAGGCGGCACGTCACGACGCTGCTAGCAGAGCCTTGGAGCAGTTACGGCAGTTGCCGCTGCCGGAGGAGATCGCGAACACCAGCAACACCTCCGAGAACGGCTCGCTGGGTGGCATCGACGATCCGAACGCCGAGTTAAAGAGCCCCGTGTCTCTTGTCCACGAGACCGCTCTGAAACGCGGACTGCCAGTCAGTTTTGAAGTTGTATCCGAAAGCGGTAAACCTCACATAAGAACTTTTATGACAAAATGCACCGTCGGCGACAAGGTCACTGTGGGAGAGGGATCCTCGAAAAAGGTAAGTTCTCTCAAACCTTTCACGTTCGAACGGAACGATAAGTAAAATGACGGTAATATATCTGATGCTCGTATCTCTTTCGTTTTTCTCGCAGGTATCGAAGAAACGCGCCGCCGAGTTGATGCTAGACGAGCTGAAGCGTCTTCCTCCGTTACCGGCTACCATACAGAACCGCACGATGCGAGTGAAACGTAAGCCGCCAGCGACGAAGAAGAAATCACGTAACCTAATCAAAGTTTATCAGGAGCCCCGTGCGGAGAACGAGGCCGCGGAGGAGGTCAACCCGGTCTCCCGGCTGGTGCAGATTCAACAGGCGAAACGGGAGAGGGAGCCGGTTTACAATCTGATCGACGAGAAGGGCGCCCCGAGGCGCAGAGAGTTTGTCATGGAGGTGACAATGGGTCAGCACTCCGCTCAAGGGATCGGACCTAACAAGAAATTGGCTAAGAGAGCCGCGGCTGAGGCTCTCTTAGCGCAATTGGGATACAGCAAGCCGTCGCCGCAGCCCGCGAAACCGTCCATAAAGACGGGAGAGAGCGAGAACACGGAGTCGAAGCCTAGAAAAGTTACATTTCTCGAGGACGAACAAATGAACGACACTCAACCTCATTCGGTAGGAGGTAAGGAGGAAACATCTCATCGTAATAAAATTGTCGCTCGATAAATTGTAACAATTTTATCGCTTTCCAGGTACCATAGGCCGTCAATTAGTACCTGGTCTTTTACTGGTAGACGGAGGTCAAGAATCTAAACTGGGGAATGGACCCAGCGTACAAATAGTCGCTGAAGAGTTGCGCGAGCAACAACAGCAGAATACGGCTGGTGTCTCGCCCAAGGATCAATTGCATTATTTATCTCAGTTATTTAATTTCAGCGTAGAATTTAGTGATTTTCCCAAGGTAATTCATTGCGATCGTTTCATCTGTATTTAAAAAAAAAATTAAATATTAAAATATTTAAAAAATATTAAAATTCAACGTTAAATGTGATCTCGATTGTATCATTAAATTAATTTATTTCCCATTGTTCCAGGGAGTGTCTATAAACAAGGAATATCTATCACTTGTGTCGCTAAGCACTGATCCACCGCAAGTTTGTCACGGTAACGGGGCGACAATAACCGCGAGCCGCAATCAAGCGGCCCTGAGGGCGCTTCGTACACTTAGTAAATTGGGACTCGATAATGCCTCGAACGCAGCACAAGTGAAGAAGGACAAAGGTGCGTCTGGTGATGGAATACACATTAGCATTCAAGTTAAAAATAACATTATGGATGGAGCTATCGATAAGTAACTGAGTAGCGCTTAAGACATATATAATGTTGAGTTATATTTATGCTTCTTTAGGACACCGCAAAAGAAAGTTAAGTGAATTCCAATTGTTATACAATTCTTTACGAAATTGATAATGTTAGTTATTGATTATTCATTACCGATTTGGAGATGTTGCTATTTTCCTCGACAGAGACTTTTTTTTCTTCAATTGCGCAACAAGAAAGTCTCAGCCGCGGTTTTGTTAGTCAATTTTTTTACTAAATCCGATTCCTTTCCTTTCGCGGAATCTGATCTATTAAAAAAATTCTGTCTCATTGAATTTTTTTCTATATAGTAATATACATATATTCGTATATAGAAAAAAAGCTGCTATGCAATAATCTGGCTATATTTATAATTTGTAAAAATATATTTATATCTACCTCAGAAAAATTTTGTCAAAGATTAAAAAAAAAAAGCAGTTGTGCATGATCTGTAGATATTTTCATTTTACACGCTTGTTATGTTATTGGATTGCTTATTATTTACATTGCATACTATAATGATAAAATCGTAATAACGATAAAAATCGAATGGATATAAATTTGAATCAATTTATACAAAATTATTTAAATTAGTTATTAGTATGTATGAAATCTTCCTGATCTTTTGCAGTGTCCTAATTACATTGAAATGCTGTTCAAGCACCAATAAGCGACCTTTAGTAATTGTGTAAGAATTTTTCTTTCGTTTAATGACTAGGAAACGTCCGATCAGTCACAGTAGACAATGACCAGTTTCTGTGACTGTCGGCAATCTATTGTTATAAATTACATACAATAGCGTATCATTGAACGATTCGATATAATACAGCTCTTGCAAAATTAATAATGCTACGCAAATTATTATTATTGGTGCTTGATCGTGATTGCGATCCTAGCAGTGACAAATATAAACTGCTGTATTTATTGTAACATTTTCATTGACAGGATCACAATAGCAATATACTTATCTACAATGATACAAAATGGTCATTCTCCAGTTAGGATCAGTCTATAATATGTAATGAAACACTATAGGGAAAATGTTAAGTGAAGTTCACAATCACGACCTGGAGATGAAATGCGACCATCTCTTAATTTCTCAATTGAATTCCTTAGCTTCCACACAGTATCATGAATAAAATGCTATGTCTTATTACCTGATTAATATTTATGAAAATGTTTTTCTTTTTTTTTTCTTCTTTTTTTTCGTAATTCTCGACTGTTCGGAATTGATCGCTTTATATTTTTCGTGTGTACATTTTTTCGTAACGCGCGCGTTTGAAAGGGAAAAAAAGTAGCAATTTCAAAAACTTATTTCCACTGAGAGTCGCATATGAAAATTATACATAAAAAAAAAATCACGTATTTTTCCAGAGTAAACTCTGGCTACACGCGCCTAGAGATGCGTGTTGATTAAAAAACCGATTGTGTGAAAGATTAAGTAGCTAACGTTTAAATTGATAAAAAAAAACATAGGTAATGCGATATACACTGTCCCTATGCCCCAATTTGCTTTTCTACGCGGGGCCAGAAGCAATCTGGGGTTATATATTCATGTAATAACGTAAAATATTGAGAAGTGAAGGGAAACACAGAAATTTCCATACATCTGTCATTCGCGGTAATGAAGATAGGTAATGATACGCTGTATGGGAAATTTCGGCGAAATATAAAACGGAGGCAAGAGACGAAGGTAGAGTAGTAAAGAAAAAAATTTGTCCCGTTGCGTCAAGATCATTACAAAATTGTTTTAAAATCTCGATTGAGAAGCCGGCGAAAACGGCGAATTTTGTCTGGTTGAGAAGCGAGGGGGAGGGTGGGGAATACAGAAATTTCCGTACATCTGTCATTTCGCAGGTGGACAGTAAATGATACGTTGCGACGGAAATTTCGATGCGTCAAAAAAAGAGAGAGAGAGAGAGAGAGAAAAGAAGAGAAGGCAATAATTCAAAATTTGTCCCGTTGCGTCCGGACTATTGCGAAATTGTCAGTTAATTTTGCTTGAGAAATAATCCTGAAACAACGGTGAATTTTGTGTTACTGTCGAGAGTAAACGAGAGTTTAAAAGGAGTACTAGAGCGAGGAAGAGACTTAATAATGAATGAAGATTGAGAAACGGTACAAACTCTCTGAATATATTCGCATAACTTTTACTTCCTGAACTTGAGCTCTACCGCGCGCCTCCGCGCAAAAACCATACGAACGTTGCCTTTTAATTGACACGATGTAACGACACCCAGAGACTTTGTACCGGCGATTCTCAACCGAGCGACCCGCTGTCTTCTATTCATTGTTCTCGTATTACATATGCGATTTAACTGAACAACAAATACGAGGCAGTTTACGCGAGTAGCGCTGACTGTCCAGAACGGTTGGGCGTGAAACTGTATTATTGTTCACTAAAGTCGCCTACATTTTACTCCTAAATGCCCGATACTCGGTACATTGAAAAAAATTTGTAAGAAACGTTCGCGGAGATGATGGATGATCTGTCGAAAATTAAATTGAGGTTTGTTCGAGACATTCGCTGGAAAAAAAAAATTATTTATTGACTCTTCGAGACTCTGGTTGAGTTTTGTTTTGCCTGATACCGATCGCTTTCAATAAGTGGGCCTTTCTTGTTCATGTGTCGTTCAGTATTACACGAGACACGGTGGTAGATTCCATTATATACATTTATAGTTTTTTTTTTGAGAGAGAGAGAGCCGAGCAGGACGAAGATGCGAATTGAACGAATTTACGTCGCGCACGTCGCAGGAGAGAGAGAAGAAAGGATTTCGTGCTAAGAACCTCTGTAATACCGTATAGTTAATATTAACGAATAGATAAGCGAATATAACGTATCAATTTACCGAGATACCGGAAACGAAATGTGTCCTTCGACATTTTGAGGGGGGAGTGAGAGAGAGAGCTCGCAAAAGGCTTACGCAAAAGAAGTCGTCGACGCGTTGTCGGGCTTAGACTCGCAAGGTGTTGAGGAAACAGGCTAACATGTCAGCGACACTGTCAGGAAGAAGGAGAGAATTGCGTAATACTAGTTTCACATGCGTTAATCCATTAATTCGTTCCGTCTCATTTCGTTTCAGTGCCGTAATCGCGCGTATACGAGCGCCATACGAAACGTTTGCTTACTTTCGGTTAGTATTAGGAGATTCGAGTAAAACCCGCTGCCGTTTTTCCACGTTACAACGTTGCTGTTCTGTAAAGCTTCTGTAAAATACATTCAATACTTCTCGCAGTTTTTTTTTCCAGTTAGTTGGCGGGAACGCGTGCGCCGAGAGAAAAGTATACGAAATACCGTAGTCCGATATTATTACGTTAGATTTACATTTTTAAGCGAAGCAATTTGTTCGTTATGCATGTAACGCGTGTGTACGCGCTGTATTAAAAAAAAGAAAAACACCGTAATGCGCAATGCGAGTCCTCGGCAGCCTCCATCTGAGAGGAATGATCGAGTAAAACCGGCCCCTACAAGTCGATCGAGGGGGATCATTTCGATTGTACCGATTGAAGCTTTAATTGCATTTTCGAAAGTGAATTGTACGACGTATAGGAATCTACTGCTTTCCTCTATCCGCATCAGTTTGTATTCGACGTTGATGAGAGAGCGAGATCGTAGAAAGGTTTCACGTACATGTATATGGCCTTTTTACTGTGCGTTTCAAATATACGCATGACAAGGTGGCACACGAAATATGTACCGCACGATTTCATTTTATTTATCCTTCTCGCCTTCGCTTCCGCTTTGAATAAAATACTCATAATTTAGTTCAAGTGTATATATATCAATTTGCGAGATATTTGACATTTCATTTTTTTATATGCAAAATTTCTTCTAATTTGTCCGATTGCTACGAGAACTTCATAGGTACGTCTTTCTAGATTTTAACGAGAGCTGAAAGGTCTAAATTAAAAAAAAAAAAGAATTTACATCCGAAAAGGATAAATTATGAAATATTTGAAATTTTTTTTTAAATTAAGATATAAGAATCCCTTTCTTATTGACGGAACTCTCATTGAAAAATGTGACATCGTGGTTCAGCCTTTCGCCGCGAGAGACCCTTCACTGTCCTCGCAGCCCGCGATTTTGATTTGGACCGTCTATCAGTTCGAACTGTTATAACCTCGTGAACGCGAGGGAATTCGATGAGTCCAAAGGAAATTTGAATTTACATATTTGTAATTCTAACAATTTCAAGTTCGTTAGCCTGGCAATTTGCTGCGATCTGGCGCGCCTGAAGTTGAAGCTCCGTCTATGTCGATACGGAGAGAAGCAGCAAAATATACACTGGGGAACGATGTATCGATCAAACAGTCAATTATAGGTTAGATTCGACGCCGACGATTCCTAAAACGATACGCAAAGAGAGCGGAAAACTCGTTGTCTCAAGTATAAGCATGAATTTCCTTGACCGTTTACGTGTTTTCAGCTCGGTCCTTTCCTCCCCTTCGCCGATGTGATGTGGTGCGCTTTCGATTCCGCTCCGGGATTATTTAGCGCAGTCCGATTGATTTGAGATGGAAGAAGGTTAGCTTTCGACGTTGTTTGATCGGCGCCGAGGAACCGGATTCGTCACACGTTAATTTTACATTGCAGGCTTGACGAGAAAATAGAGGAGGGGTCTCGCGCGTTTCGGTGTGCACACGCCAGAGTAAAATTGTCAGCAGCGGGATTGTTTCTCGAGCGAATTCGAAGATGTTCAAGAACACCTTCCAGAGCGGCTTCCTGTCCATTCTGTACAGCATCGGCAGCAAGCCGCTGCAGATCTGGGACAAGAAGGTGAGGAACGGACATATCAAGAGAATCACCGACAATGACATCCAGAGTCTTGTTCTGGAGATACTGGGCAGCAACGTCAGCACAACGTATATCACGTGTCCGGCGGATCCGAGGAAAACCTTGGGGATAAAGTTGCCCTTCCTGGTTATGATTATCAAGAATCTGAAGAAGTACTTCACATTCGAGGTTCAGGTGAGGCTCTCCTTGCCACTGATTTATGGAGAAAATGAAGGGAAAACATTTAATCTACTTTAGGGTAAACCATTACTGAACATGTATCTATCCCGCTCCGGCATTATTTAGCACAGTTCGATTAATTTAAGATGGAAGAAGGTTAGCTTTGATGTTTGGTTGGCGCCGAGGAACCGGCTATATCCGAACAGGTGCACAAAAACTTATTTTTAAATGATTTTTTTCATAATATCACAGTTTAATTGTAATCTTTAAATATTTTTACAATTAAATTTTGATATAATAAAAAAAAGCATTTGAAATTAATAAATTTTGTGTATGTGTTCAGATATAGATAACATGTTCAGTAGTGGTACACCTTAGTGAAATATGGATTTCTGAAACAGATCAATCAATCGACTGTGAGTCGATTGCTCTCACGTGACACTTCAGAAAAATATTTAATATATTTAAGGAGAGATAAAGAATTCTTTCGTTCATCAATTTTATCCAATCTCTTTTAATATGAAAAAAAATATTTTCACATTTCAGATAATCGACGACAAGAATGTACGCCGTAGATTTCGTGCTAGCAATTACCAATCCACGACGAGAGTGAAACCGTTCATATGTACCATGCCGATGAGGCTGGACGACGGATGGAATCAGATACAGTTCAACTTGGCCGACTTCACGCGCCGTGCCTACGGGACGAATTACGTGGAAACACTAAGGGTCCAGATACACGCTAATTGCAGAATACGGCGAGTGTACTTCTCAGATCGATTATACTCGGAGGACGAATTGCCCGCGGAATTTAAATTGTTCTTGCCCATTCAGAACAAGGCAAAGTGTTGAGGATTAGTGAAGGAATACGCGCGCCTCTAGTGAAAGAAAGGAGAGTCGTTCGGTGAGATGTTTCTTTAAAAATTTGTTCGAATTACTTTCGAAATAAAAGATAATTTATTGACGATTGCTTTAACTTTATACGTCGCTCAAAAAAACAAAAAACTGCAAGTAGTACAATTAATAATCTTTAAGAGAAATTTTTTACTTAATACGATGTAGATTATGTGTCATGCATTTATGTATTAAGAATTGTGTATTTTTGCTTATCACTAGATATATGGATCGCTAGATATAAAAAGTACGTATATATTTTCGTGTTCTATATGTATTTTTTCCCAGAATTCTACTTTTTCGAATAATCTGCTAAAAAGTGGAGTTAAATTTATTGTGAACAAATACATTTATTTGCGCACCATCTCGATTTCTCTATAAACTCTTCTTGGCTATAACTTTCTCCGATTTGTTATTTGTGTTATACATACATTGATAGTTCTACATGAGGCCTTTATCCTGTAATTTCTCGAGAAGTTTTCTATTCGCGGAACGACTTATTGTTATAAAATCCGATGCTGTCTTTAAATACGTACGATTTTATTTCTTCCAGTATTGCCTCTTTCTCGATTAGAGATGGAATATATTTGTGTGCAGACATGTCTTCAGCGTCTTCCTCGATGCTAAGTAGAGATCTTAAACGATTGGCGATACTTCTTTCACTCTCTTTTACGTATTTATGCTTAGAACGAACATGTCCATCGCTCGGATTGTCGGACACGTTGTTTATTTTATCAAGCTTAACATTTTCAGACAGCTCGAGTTTAAAAGCGGACGGAGCACTGGCTGCTCTAAATTTTGCAACCGTAGCGTTATCTTTTCCTGTCTGTACGTTATCAGCATCGCTTAATGTGCAATTTCTTATGTTGCAGTTTCTCATGTTAACATACGTATCTCCTGCATTCTGACCTTTCTGCGGACATTTTGGAAATTCGTTATCCTTGAATAATATTTCGCTGACGTGCGTTTTTAAAAATTGATTCTTCGCAATTCTTTTTAATTCGACAGCAGACGCAGGTTGCAACCTATAATCAAGTTTTATATTCAGCATGGAGATTTCTGCCTTATGAGTCTTCATTGCATAACGTTGGCCCGCTTTCTCCGTTATGTCACTGCTACCTTTTTTTAACTTATTTTCTGTAATCATTGGCTCATTTATCGAAGATTTCGTGAGGCGTTCACTTTGTCTTGTAAAAATATGCTGGTTACGTTTCTTTATCGCGCCGTTTAAAGCGTCCACCGACATGTGATTCTTTTTTAATATAGACTTGTATAAATTTAAGTTAGGTGAATTTAAACTTTTCAGTTTTTCCGTGTTGCCCGCGGTTTTACGTAGATCCATTTTTGCCGACGGTGTACCAATAGAATCTTCCTTGGCAAAACAATTCGGGGCAGATTGCTCTGGAGGTTCTAGAAGCCGAAACGAGAAATATAAATATACTAATATCTATGTATATTTCACATGTCCGCGAGAATTTATAAAACCTGTGTAACATTCTTCCGTCTGGCAAGCCTTTACGACTTTGATTTGACTCCGCTTCAACATGTACATATCGATGAAAGCCTGACACATCTCGATGCGGGTCTCGTCGTCGTCGTAGTGACGATCCTGCAGGTACACCCTTCTCAAATGACAATTCGGATAAATCGTCACTCTTTGCAGGGCCCCGTAATCCGTCCCGTACGCGTCGCGGCAGAGAGCCTGGAGATTTATCTCCAAGAGGTTCCAACATTTTTCCAATATCAACGGAATACGAGCCAAGCTCGCGCCGATTCTCGGTCTCTCGACGCTGTGGGTCATGAAAGAGAATCTTCTCCGGTACCGTTCCTCGTCCATTATCTTGGCATGGCGGAAGATGGAAAGTCATCATTGAGAAAACAGTTGTAATGGAATATCTTTCATAAAATTTACAGAACATCCGTGTACTTGGACATCCAGCTTGAACCGCAGGTTCAAGTTCTTTACGATTAACACGAGAATAGGGAGCTTTACGTTCAGGACGTCCTGCGCTTTGGCGGGAATAGTTACGCTCGTGGGGATCGTGCTGTTGTTTGGCCCGGTGATCTCGATCACCCTGTCCCCGTGCAATAGGTCGTCCCTCACCCTACGAATCTTGCCACCGTAGGAAACGTGTTTCGACCACAAATCCAACGGCTTGTCCGCGACGCTGTACAACAGCGACATGTACCCACAGACCTCCCTCTTTGACATACTCTTTGTCATTTTCACAGGAAAAATTTATGCGTGTTCCACGATCGCGCCGCAAGAATTGTGCCACTCACGACAGCCAAGAGTATCAGGAATTTAAATTCTAGGTATCTGAAAGTATCGCGCTACAAATTTTGTCGAAAGAGAGAGACAAAGAGAGAGAGAGAAGGGCTATAGATGCAGTAGTACAGGATCTGGCATGTTCAATGCTGTTGGCAGCTAAAATTATAGGAAGAAATATAGTAAAATTTGCTAACAAAATATAGCGGCAAATCGAGTAGCGGAAATCAGATAGATTTTGGCGTACCCGCTACGCACAGTTTTACGCGGATTGCCGGCAGAAGTCGAGCGAAATCCGCCGTTCGAACGGATCCGGCTCGATTTCTGCCAATCTGCTGTCAGGTTATGTCAGAACGCTCTGCCGCGGCGAAACGCGAGCAAAACGCGGTCGACGACGTTTTCTACGATTTGCCAGGTAATCTCCGATCGAATTCGCCGTCGATCTGCCGGTCCGCTTACCGGGGATACAGAAGGGAGTATTGACATAGCTTCTTCGAGGAGCATATCGCGACGTTTTATCGGATATATTTTTTTCAACATGATCAATCCTTTCTTCTGCGACAAGATAACGTGTAGGTGGAAAATGACAAGAATTTGATGATCGTTTCCATGATTTTTTTTTTACTGCGGCGAGAAACCCTTAGAGGTTATGTCCCTCCTCTTGATTCGTCCGCATTTTGTTTCTACGCGTGTTATTTACAATCGCGATTGTGACGAAAACGGCAGGGTAATTAATATATTTTCGATAAACAGATATATATATATATATATATATATATTTTACAATAAATTAAGCTCTGAATTCACGGGAATACGATATTTCATAACGGGAGCAAACAAATTTTAATGAGGATAAATGAGAGCTGCAGTTACAGTAATGAGGTATATTTTTAATTTAATCTTAATTCTCTTTAATCTTCGAATATTCGCTTTGTGTGTTACTTCGAGCTGAAAAAAGAACTGATTTAATGCAATTTTATCTCTTTCGAGCGTGCATTCCCGCAAAACGTTAATTGTACGTTAATAATCATGAATACGATTATATATAATATATATACATTCGTTCCGCTCGCTTTTTCACATTGACATTTAATCAATTTATTACATTTCGTGCTAATTATTACAGGCGTGTCGAAACGCCGAGACGAGATAAGACGAGATGATAGGGCCGGATCGAGGACATCATCGTCATCGTCAATCATCGAACGGCGCCGATAATTACGGTCTGTCGCCCCTCCGCCTAAATTAATTCTACCTACAAAATGAATTCGCAGGGATATCTTTTTCTACCCCGGCCGATCCCGCATTGACTCGGCGCTCTCTAGCGAAAATCATCCCCCTCTGTTGCCGGAACAAAAAGGGGAGAATAACAAACGTCGATACGAATAATTAACGAAATAATGATCGTGTCATTATAACGAGCGTGGCGTGATTAAGGGCTGCGGGGAGGGAAAATCGGCGGGGCGGAACCGCGGCGGCGAGTGACGGAGGGCGGAGGGGGGGGGGATAATCGCGTACACACACGTACACTCGGCGGGCGTATTAATTGCTAATTATTAAGTATTGATTTTTTTAAATGGGGACGTGGAGCGTAGCGCCGGCTCTCCGCTCCACCCCCTCGGGAGGGCGAACGGGGAAGCGGGATGAGGAGGGGATCTCCGCTCGTTCGCGTCGAGTGGCCGCGGACTATTTTCCGCGGCGCGCAAAAACGCGGCACGCGCACGCGCGCGGTATCACCCGGCGGCGCGGCGGTGGCGTGACCGGGACGATTCGTGGCGCGGGGCGCGCGGGCGGCGAGAAATGGCGGGAAAGCGCGGAATCGTGGACCGGACGACGCGACGGACGCGGGCGGCGATCCCGAGCCGCGTGCGTGCGAGCGAGCTGAGCGAGCGAGGTGTCGCGACGGCGCGCGAGCGGCACGTGGTTGCCGGTGGCGCGAATCGCCGAGGATACCGCGCGGAAAGGAAGAATCGCCCGCGGATGATCGCCGAGCGTCGCGGTGCGCCGGTCAAGATGGCGGAGCAATTAAGATGAGTGCCGCGCGCCGATGCGTTTTATTCTTTTGCGCGCCGCATGGCCGCGGCGTCGTCGCGTTCGTCGTTGCATCGATGTAATATACGATTTTCGCGAACGGTGGATGGCGGCGGCGGCGGCGGCGGCGGCGACGGCGGCGGAGGAGGAGGAGGAGAAGAAGGAGGTGGTGGTGGAGGCGGCGACGCCGCCGCCGCCGCCGCCGCTACCGCGGATACGTATGTACGCGCGCACTGCGCGCCGGTTGGCGGGGAGCGCCGCGCACCGCGCGCCGCGACGCGAGGCGCCGGCGGAATCCATAAATAAAACAATTGGTTATATACATATGTTTTTCAAATCGACGAATGCTATTATATATTTTGTATTGAGCACTCCGCGGCACACTGCGGGGGGACGAGACGGACGGGGGAGAGACGGACGCACGCCGACGCCCGACGACTACCCGCGACGAGCGCGGGCGAGCGCGCGTCTGTTTTTATAAAGAGCACACGGGCACGACGACTCGCGTCGCGTCGCGCCGTGCCGCGCGGCTTATAATCTCGCCCAATCCGCGGCTCCACTCATAAAGTATACGGCGGAACAAAAAAAGAGGGAAAATCGTTATAGAATAATCAAGCCGTCGCACGTTCGCCCGCTTTCGGCCGCCGCCGTCGGGAGACACACGCGGCTTCTTCTCGGTCGCGCATCAGCCGCCGTCGCCGTCGTCGCCGTCGCCGTCGCCGCTCCTCGCGACCGAGGATGCCCTGTCGTTGCCCGGACACATGAAGACGTCGCGTCGCGGGCCGACTCGGCGGTTCGGCGTTTCGTCCTGAGTCTGCACCTCCGATCGTCCGGTTTTCGGGAGGAGAAAAGAAAAAGAAAAGATCGACGTGGTCCCACCGAAGCCCGCGTCGGCGTGTGCCCGCCGTTACTACCCGCCAGAGGATCGGCCGAAACGAAAAAGTCTTCCAGCGGTGGAACGAGAAGAAAAATCGTCTCCCCTCTCCTCCCCCGGCACACCGTTCTCACATTTTTTTTTCCGTTGTTCCTCCCCCTCGTCTCTCTCTCTCTTCCTTCGCCGATCTCTCCGTTTTTCCCCTTTTTCCTCGCTCTTCCGATTCCTTTTTGAAAAATGGACACGACGGTACGCGATTTCGAGCAGCAGCAGCGCGATCGGCAAGCGAACCGGCCCGCGGCGCAGTGCCGGATCTGTGCGGCCGACATCGCCACCGACGACGACGGGATGCACATTTTTGCCGAGGACGGCCGGCGTCATTATCTGCAGACCAAAATACGGAAATATCTGCATATCCTGGTGAGTAGACGAGAGACGCGGCGAGCGCGCTTTCGCGCGTATCTTCGCGCGGCGGGCGTCCTTTTTTTCCCCTCCCCCTCTATTTTTCCCCTCATTTTTTCTCTTCCTCTTTTTTTCCCCTCATTTTTTCTCTCCCCCTCTTTTTTTCCTTCTTTCAAAATTTGTCCCCGCTCTGCGCGGCGGGGGGTGTCGCGATCACGTGCCGGTCGTGGTCGAATTTTCGAAATTCATGCCGTCGGCGCCGCGCTCTGCGCCGATCTCGGCCGATTTCTCGGGATCGGCCGAGATCGCACGGCGATCCTCGATCCTCCGCCGCGTGCCGATCTCCCCTGATCTCCCTCGTCTCGCGATCGCGACGATTTTCCGTGATCGAATAACGTTGCTCGGCGAAAAAATCGGCGATTTAGAGCGTCGATCTCGATTCCCCCCATTTTTTAACGTCGAATATTATATTATAATGATCGGGCTCGTCGCGGATGAATCGACTCGCTCGTCTAAATATAACGGCGACATTTTCGCGGTACGCGCGGATGCTTATAAGGACGGGGGTTACGCCTCGCTCGCCGCCGAAAGTCTCCGGCCGAAAAAATTAATCGCGTCGCGGGCCGCTAACGAGCCGCGAAATGTCAGCGAGCTGCACGTCGTCGTGGGGACGACGACGATTCACGGGGGTATAGAGGATCGTATTTACGGAATTTCGCGGGATATATACGTCGGTCGGGCGCGCGACCATTTTGTGCGGAGCTACAAAAGTGTTAAAAATTAGCATTTTATTGATTGCAATAAGTATACCGTGTGGCCCGCGTGTATGTGTACGCTATATATAAGCGACCACATCTATAAATACAATCGGAAATGAGGGCCGCGTCCCGCGACGCGGAGCGACGCCGGGAGGGAATGACGTCGCGCGGAATAGATAGGTCGCGTCGACCCGTGACGCGATCGCGCGAATATGAGGGAAAAGAGTCGAGAGAGAAAAAAAACGGGGACGAGATTTTCCTTCTAAATTCTAAATGATACGAGACGTACGCGTCCTTTCCTCCCCC